GGCATCTCTAAAATTTGATGACAGATTTTAGAGATCGGAGATGGTTGACGGAAACCTAAACATCTAACAATAAACTTCGAAAAATTAGAAGTACAACTAACAGAAGTTGTGTAGTCACTTACTAGTCTGTGCAGAAGTAATTGTTTTATGTTTGTTGTGTATAAAAAGTGTGTACAAGTAAAATAAGATAGTAGTTCGCTTGGCATTTGCATGAACTTTCAATAATCAGTCAAAATATTTGTAATGTATGTTGTATATATGTAGATACCTTTAATTTGTTTTTAAAGCCTAAATATTTCTACGTTTTTTTCTCTCTTGACCTTCCCTGTTGACGTGGCAGATGATTTCAAATAATCAGTTGCTCAGATCCTAGGATGCTTATTTGGAGCTGGTTCACATTTCTTCGATCAGGCGAAAGAGCCATTAATGTGATAAAAGCGCAGGCGTCGAGTTCCCAAGGGTGTCACCGGCCTGTGAACCTTTCCATCAGGTGCTTCACCATGGCCTGAGTTTTTATAACCAAACCAAACCATCTGAACCGAGTAAAGGACAAATGCGATAACAATAGACATAAAAAATAGAAATAAAGTAAATGCAAGTAGAAGATTTACATCATAGTTGACTTTAACCAATGTATCCTCAGAATATGAAAATATGCACACCAGCTCACCTTGCTTTTTCTCTGTTTCTGTGTGTCAGTCTCTCTCTGTTGATCTCTCTCTCTCTCATTATATATATATATATATATATATATATATATATATATATATATATATATATATATATATATATATATATATATGCGCGTGTGTATGTTTATGACAGAAGAATGGCAGAGTGGTGATGCAGTGCAGAACCGAAATTAGTAGAGGACAGAGTGGGCAGCTGCCCAGAAGCCTCCACAAATTCAAAGGGAATGGTTTTCGTAAAGTTATCATACACACACACACACACACACACACACACACACACACACACACACACACATACACACACACACGCACACACACACACACACACACACACACACACACACACACACACACACACACACACACACACATATATATATATATATATATATATATATATATATATATATATATATATATATATATATATATATATATATATATATATATATATATATATATATATATATGTATGTACACTTACTTGTACATATACAAATCTATATCAGTATATCTATATACATTCATATCTATACAGCTATAACTATCTACTATATATATATATATATATATATATATATATATATATATATATATATATATATATATATTGCAGCGATGGGAGCAAAACATTGTGTTGACTCTACCATCTTATTAAAGATTACAGCAATCAGAAAGGAAAAATCATTGCTAATTAACACGCCTTTAATTTTTTGATTGTGGTTTTCTTTGGAATATGTAATATTCTGTCTCACTTTTCTTTTTTTATCTTCACGTTCCTGGTTTTCTCAAGAGACATAGATGAAAATACATAAGCTGTCTATTCTAGCAACATCTATAATGCTATAATAAATAGCATGGGTTCACTTGATACTGCATATTGATACGGCCACTTGGACGTATGAGGGAGCCTCCACTCTACTTCAGTTTTCTTAACACTGTTCTCTAAATGTTGTCAGGAGGTTGCGGATCAGCAGCAAGAGGCAGAAGTGTTCAAAGATTAATTTTTGGTCGAAATATTACTAAAGAGGTCGTAAAATGTCCTTCTGTGTCACTAGATGCAAAGTCAGTGTACTTGTACCTGTTGCTGTATTAATCATTTTTCATACGCAATTTTTCATTAGGAATTACCAATTTGTTTTAGTGTTTAATTTCTTTTCTGTTACTGTGAAACATGACATTATCTCTCCTTATCAGATCTCAGCCTCTAATGTGTTATTATAATCAGCATAGCAGTATGTGTAACTTGAAAGAAATTTAGGCTTACTCACACTTGCTCATTTCAAGGACTTGGTCGAATTCAGTTCAGTGAGATCTTAGGTACGCGCACATCTCAGATCCAGCGGCAGCCATTTTGTTCCATTTCCAGTGTGATCGATGGGTTTATCGATTTGGACATATTATTAAGGATAAGTGCACTCTTAGTATTATGTTTAATCTTTCATGTCAGGAAGTTTGATGGTGATTGGTTTGTTAAAACTTAGTTTTCTGTCGGCCTGAAAATGCATACCCCTCACGCTCACCGCCGTCCGCCATATTGAAGTTGTTCGAAACTGCAAATAAACTTGGTCAGTATCCTTTATTAATGCCTAAAGACATCGTACATGTGTATATTTTGAATGATCATACTTTATGGGGCCCGATGATTAGAGGTGTAGAAAGTGTTCTGCAAGCTGTTCACTGATGCTGTATCGGCAAGTTTAGGTCACGTGATCACTTTCCCGGTTGCTCATTGGCTCATTTCATTTGTTTTGTAAACAAACTGCACAACATGTACCTTCTGTGAAAATTTCAAGTGAATATCTTTAATATTAAGGAAATGGCATTAAAACAAAAGTTTGAAATCCTCTGTTAGGGACACACTCGCTCTATTGTTTTACTGTTAATTGATAGGGACAAATGGGACGCCAATTACTAATCTTTAAATGGCCATAACTTCTTTAATATTGAACCTATTCCTATGATCTAGGTGTTATTTTGAAGGTCTTTTCCAGCTCTACCTTAATGTTTTCTCAAAATAGTCATTTGTAGTGTTTGAATTTTTGGTCACATACCTAGAGATCTGCGAAGACAGGCTTCGCTCGGAACTCATTTTATGGTCTTTGTGTTTCAGCAATTTAGTGGCATGTCTGATAATAACAAGTGTAAGCTTTCATGTTGGCCGCATCGGCTATGGACTTTCCAGCTGCCACGGGGTAAGCGATAAGCTTTTTGTACGATTGGTATTGACAAGGAATGACTGCTCAGCCGCTAGCTGGTGCTGTGACGTCACGCCGAGGTAGTCAAGCATGGCCTCGGGAGCTCAGACGATGGCTTCGAGGCGGCGCAATGTCGCAAGTTGATCTGAGTATCCGGCCTCCGTTTTCTTCTTTCTCCATCAAAGAAAACGAAAATGTGCAGGATACACTTTGCAATTGCCTTTAGTTGGTCTACACAAAATGTATGCATATTCAACGTTTTTGTGTGTGTGTGTGTTTGCATACATATGTTTTTCTTTTCCAAAACGCACTAAATGTTAGTGATTCCTAAAACCCATACCTTCTAATTAATCTCGCATGAGGCATACTATGCCCTCCGGCTGCCAACTGATGCCCAAAAGTCCTATGGATGGGACTTGGAGATTTCACAGAGTGGGCCATCCGCCAAAAACTCTCCCACAAGAGAACCAGCTCCTTTGAACAGCTGTTGCTGTAGATGTTGATGGCCTTGAGTACAGCCTGCCAGCCACCACATTGGGTTACATTAGTGCGTAACAACGATCGCGTAAAGATATGTAGGTATGTTCGCGGGAAGATTTTCCAAATTAAACAATACCATTCGCGATTTTTCTTGGAGGATATTCAAATGAAGACGCTATTA